ATCTTCCACATTCATTTTAATTCCTTTGGGGCCTTGTCTATAAATGCCTATGAAGAACACAATCCTGAAGAAGGCAGTCAGACTATGTCCACTGATTCACAAATGAGCCTCAAATGTTGTTCTTCTCTGCATTCGTTTCAAGAGTCTCAATGTCTTTTTTGGGGGGGACGTATTGCGGTGACAAAAACTGAATGCAATATTCCAAGTGTGGTCTTACCAAAGCATTATAACATGGTCTTGATTCTATCCCTGTTAACGTAGCCTAGGACTGCTTCAAGTTGATCCAACGCTGCCTTGGCCATACCCAGTCTCTTGAGCCCATTCATTGCTGATTTGAAAAGGCTGGGTGTTCACCCAGTGACTTTTCTCAATCCTTTGCTGGTAAAAGATCTTTGACTAGGTTGCAGCATGGTGCCACTCTCTTGAAAACAATGCCTTAGGGACTGGCTATATATTTTAGCTGACAAGATATGGGGCATCTTTCTTTCAGACATCAGATTAAGTCACAAGGCAGTAGAAGCAAAGTGATGAGGGAGAAGCTGTGCTGTGCAGTCTGTCCTGCCTTTGTTGAGGTGGTTTTCTGCCCACAAAACCCCACAAAGAATGATCTGAGGTTGCCTTCTGCCATTTGGCCTCAGTGAGCAAGTTCTGCAATTCTAACCCAAAATTCCGTAATACACACTCCTATATAGCAATTGGCAACTACTTATGCTGATCAGCTGGAGCATGGAAAATGAAAAATTGCTTACTCAGTTACAATTATTGATTCCAGCAGGTCATCATGTGAATCTATTGTGCATTATATTGTCCTGTCAGAGTGATTATCTGAATTTAAATATTCAGAAGGTTTGAGTTTCTATCTCTCCTTCATGCTCATTCTTATGCCTATAAAATAAGTAATTGATAAATGCAGTTACAGTATGTTTAGTTGACTGAGAGATGAGCCAATTTTGTAAGTATCCCCTAGCAAATTATATTGTCTTTGTTGTTTTTTTGTATCATGTTGAACTGGGGAGAAGGCTTGAGCTGAAGTTGAGTGTGAAAAAAAACTCAGCCATGAATTACAACCATGTACACTCATCATTTTAACTCACATTTCGTTGAATATTTTTTCTCTGGTGGGACTGTTCTATCAAGGCAACCTGGTCTACCCAAGAATGGGATGGAGCATACTGCTTCTGTCATTCCCCTGGTGGAGACTTACTCTGAGGGAGAGGAGGAACAGCCAACAGGGAGTGGAAGTGTGGCTCTGGATGTTGTGGAGGAGGCTGGGGAAGGGCAGAGGCTGGCTGAGCAGTCAGAGGAGGACCCAGGCCCATTCCCTATCCATCCTAGGGCACGCAGGGAGGAGAGGATCAGGGAAAAACGTGGTCTACTCGGCCATGATCTTCTTCATGGGTTGCAGGTGTGAGATCTGCCTAAGAGTTTGGACCTGCGTGCTTGCAAATGCTGAAGACGAAGAGTGGGTTTTCCTGGATGAGGTTTATCTTGGTTGGCGTTCTTCCAACAGACGGTACCTGGTTATCTTCTTGAAGTTTGTAATTAATTATCCTGGTCTGTCGTGGAACTTTCTTCAGTGTGATTTGTTTTTGTTTTTTGCTTCGTTATCTGCTCTTAACTATTTTTGTGTTAAATTTATGTTTTACTGACAAAGAAATAAAGGGAGACTAGTATGAATCTATTTCAAGCTATTTAGCTCTCATCAAGTAGCCATACCCTTCTGGGATTCGAACCTGTGCTGCTTACATATTAAGTAGATGTATTAATGAGGAGAACCCGTAGCGTAGAGGTTAATACATCTACATTTAAGCAGCCTGGATTTGAATCCCAGAAGGGTATGGCTAGCTGATGAGAGCTAAATGGCTTGAAATAGACCTATACTAGTCTCCCTTTATTTCTTTCTCGGTAAAACATAAATTTAACTCATACTTTGATTAAATTAATAGACAGCAAACTGAATATACAGTATTCTGCTTCATGCAAATAAGTAGAACTAAAGAGAAAATGCCAGTTTATTATATCTGAAGTGAAGCCCCTAATTTGTATCTCCCAAATAGGTTAAAACCATAAGGTAAATAAGAAATTGGTCTTAACTGATTTTAATTTTTCAGTAGACTTGCACTTCTCTCTCACCTTCTTCCCAAATATTTTTGAAATGGGCATAAGTATTAGTTGGACTGCATCTATACTTGTAAGCTAAAACTTTTAATTACTAATTTCTGATTGAAGAGACATACTGTAGGATTGCAATTTTCTTTACCTTTCAAACTTAAAAAAAATTGGTAGTTACAATTCTCTTCATCAGATGCATGGGAGTGAAAGATGTAATAGAGTAACTCACAAAAGACAAGTGTTTTAATAAAATTTTGTAATTTGAATAGTTTGGCTTTCAAACTCTGAATATTTTCAAATAAACTCTGGGTTTAAAATATATTTTAATACAATCATACTTTAACTGTAGCCCTTTCAAGAAAGATTATTTAACAGACTTCTGTTTAAAAAATGAACTACAATACCGTATATACTCGAGTATAAGTCGACCTGAATATAAGCCGAGGCACCTAATTTTACCACAAAAAACTGGGAAAACTTATTGACTCGAGTATAAGCCTAGGGTGGGAAATGCAGCAGCTACTGGTAAATTTCAAAAATAAAAATAGATACCAATAAAAACCTTCACTAGGACAGTTGAGAATAAGTTTGATGTTCACAATTTCCTCTTTGAAAGAGACCAGTAGGGAACAAGAAGATGAAGAAAAAGAAGTGTGTTTTTTCACACTTTTCACACTGCAGTGAACAAAAATGGCATCGTGGGAACAGGTTTATTCTCAGTCCAAAGGTTTTTTTGTGATTTCTTCCCTGATTTAAGGGAAATTTGGGAAACGATATCACTATCATGAAAGGTTTAATTGATTCACTAACCCAAAAGAAGATGATGATGACAGTGGGAGGCAGGAGTCACTCTCTCCCTTGCAAGCAAAAACCAAGAGCCGTTCTTATGATCTCTCTCTCTCTCTCTCCCCGTAATAGTCAAGCCCTTTCCAGAACGAGCAATCTGCCGCTGCAGCTTTATACCTTGCAAATGCAAAATCCCGGGGTTTTTGCATTTGCAAGGTGCAAAGCGGCGGGGGCGGATCGTGCATGCTGGAAAGGGCTTGACTGTATTACGGGGAGAGAGAGAGATCATAAGAACGGCTCTTGCTTTTTTCTTGCAAGGGAGAGAGTGACTCCTGCCTCCCACTGTCATCAACATCTTCTTCTTTTGGGTTAGTGAATCAATTAATTTGGGAAATGATCTCACTATCATGAAAGTCAGTGTTCTCTGCCCGTGGG